GACACTAAATGAAAAGACACCAGAGTAGAAAAGTTTTTTTAATGTGAATCACTGTAGAATAAATGTATTAAAATCAATATGGTGGAGTAATGAGTAATCCATTACATTTGAATGGTACTGGAGTAATGTGGTCGTTACTTGGTCCTCACAAGTACACAAAGAAGAAACCAGTGCGGAACCTTTGTGCCGGTGAGCTCAGTCCGGGGGAGCGCGTTCTGCGTCGCACCACAGTTACGTGTGTAACATGGTAGTGATCGTGTCGGAGCCGCAGAGTCACAGGTAAAACATTTCAAATCTGACCTTTAATAACCTTTTATTCATTCACACCATGAGACTGAACTTGTGGTTGCATCGACTCTCGTTTGTTAAATTTAACATCTTTTCAATTAAAGATCGATAAAGATCAGAACAATGTCATTTTACTGCAATAATCGTATTTAACCGTAACCTATACTTCACTGCACGTTTAAACACACGAGCAGAGCTCGAGGTAAAAACTTGATAAACGAAGTATTTTCTGTGTTTTGTCTCAATAACGCTCACGTGACAATAACACACGAGACTTTTCTACGTTCTACCTGGTTCACCGGTAAATTCGGCTCGTCAGAGTTTGTCTGACTCAGAGATTTCTTCCTATTTCCTGCTCAGGTCACATTAAAGCAGCCGCTGATAAGACGCTGAGCCTTGTGTCGTCCTCTCAGGAGAGCACACTGACTCATGTTTCTGAGGTTTCTACTGTTTGTGATGGTTTGACTCGTGTTGAGTTATGAACAGACGATGTTGCACCTTGTTAAGATCGATGAGACAAACTGTGATTTGTGTATATTAGACAAAACAAATATCATTTGACGGACTGATAATGAAACGTTCAGAGCTGAAGTTGTCTGTCCTCCAGGTGATTGTCCCTGCTGCAGCTTCAGGTGTGAACTGACTCCAGGACCGGCCATGCTGCTGTCTCTCCTGCTGCGTCCGCCCCTCCCCTCCCCTCCCGTCTCCACACTGTTGTCAAAATGCGTCCGAACGTTGCGGTTTGATGCCGGCAGGATGCTGCACTCTCAGACTGAACACTTCTTGCAGCGGAGGCTTCCCCTGTGCTTCCAGAGCCGAGGAGCCAAGAGCCGAGGCAGGAAGAGCCGGGGTCCGGAGGACGACTGGAAGACCAGGAACAAGACGGTGCTGACGTACATCGCTGCAGCCGGGGTGGGGATGATCGGCCTGTCGTACGCTGCGGTGCCGCTCTACAGACTCTACTGTCAGGTGAGGACGGGGATGGACTAAAACTCCTGACCCCCAGCTGTGTGACCCCTGTGTGACCCCTGTGTTTGTCTGACAGGCGGCTGGGCTCGGCGGCACGGCGGTGGCCGGCCACGACACGAGTGTGGTGGAGACGATGAAGCCAGTGAAGGAGCGTGTTCTCAAGATCACCTTCAACGCCGACACACACGCCAGCATGCAGTGGAACTTCAGACCGCAGCAGTCGGAGATCTTTGTAAGAACGACTTCACCATCAACCACTTTTCACGGACATCAGCTTCATAAACTGAAGTTTAGAGGAAAACGTTGTCATAGACTGTTCATCTGTAGATTTGAAGGTTTTAAACTGTTTGTGTCGTGCAGGTGGTTCCAGGTGAGACAGCGCTGGCTTTCTACAGAGCCAAGAACCCCACAGACAAACCGATCATCGGCATCTCCACCTACAACGTGGTTCCCTTTGAGGCGGGACAATACTTCAACAAGATCCAGGTACGAGTCATCATCTCGATGTCAAACATTATTTTGTTCTCTTTCTCTCAGTTACACCTTTAATAACCTTTTAGTAATATTTACTTCCTGCATCCCGCTGTGTTTTCCTGCCGCCCGTGTGCAGTGTTTCTGCTTCGAGGAGCAGCGTCTGAACCCACACGAGGAGGTCGACATGCCCGTCTTCTTCTACATTGACCCCGAGTTCGACGAGGACCCCAGGATGGCCCGAGTGAGCACCATCACCCTCTCATACACCTTCTTCGAGGCCAAGGAGGGCGAGAAACTCCCTCTGCCCGGATACAGCTACAACTGAGCCAACGGCCGCTGCCGCACGGAGAGGACGCAGTGAGACCTGAACCTGGGCCGAGGTTTGATTCTTATCCCAGTCTGAGTCAGTAACGCAGGAAAAGAAGAAAAATAATCCAAGACTTCTTTCTTTGACACCGAAGCTTCAACCAGAGACGACGACACGTCTCCAGAAATGAAGCCAAAATATCTCAGATACGAACGCTGCCATCTTGTGGTGATTACATCATTAGCAGTCAGAGTCTGTGCAGTAGTGATCGTGGGGTGGAGCTGCGGTATCAAGGTCCCGCCCATACATGCTCTCGACCAATCCTGAGTCAGTCTCAGTTGTCAATCAAGACATCTTGTTTTTATATCATCAAATAACTAATAAACCCAAACTGATCAGAATCACTCACATCAGTGAGATGAGAACGAGCTGAAATGACAGAAACATCTTTACAAACATTTATTTAACGTCTACTTTGATTTTTAGTTTGGTCCATGTCCCATCTGCTAACATGGTGGAGGAGGGTTTATGAGCTATACTGCAGCCAGCCACCAGGGGGCAACCAGATGTTTTGGCTTCACTTTTTGGGCACTGTCATGTCGTCCATCTTTATTTATAGTGTGTCTGCGACTCATTGATGCTGATGCAGCCTTGCAGATTTTTTTTCATGAGACTAAGTTATTCACAGCTCAGTGTCGGAACACGACAGAATAAATCGATTCCAAGATTCCTCGTGGAAAAGCCCTTGAAGACAAAAGGTGTTGGTTTTAGAACACTCAGATTTATTAACACCAGTTTTCGGCCTCAGTGGAAGACAGAAGCTCTTTGGTTCATCTGGTCGCGACACTGAAGAGAAAAACATCAGAACTGAACTGTTTCCTGGACGCACCGCTCTGCTGATCTGATTGTGTGTCACAGACTGTTATTGTAAATGATGATTAAATTATTTTATAGTTGATTATTGAATTGATAAAGATCAATAAATATGGCTGATGCATAGATGTCAATCAGATGAAGATGTGAAATTTGTTCAGGTTTATAGTCACTACTCGAGACTGTATCTGCCTCTTGTGGACACCAGGGGGCAGCAGAGGAGACGAGCTTCAACTGTTCATGTAAAAGGCTTCAGTTTGAAGCTCTGCTGTCATGCTTTTATTGTGGAGGCTCTGACAGGAAGTGGGATGCTCCTCTCACCTATTGATTGACGTCCTTGGCGACAAATCCCAGCTCGTGGTTTCCCTAGCAACTCAACGGCTGGACCAATCAGAGAACAGGGATCTCCACTCTCCCCCCCCCAGCAGCAGAGGGGGCGGGAGGCAGGCTCGTGCTCGTCAGTCCTGAAGTGCGTAAAAGCGCGCGTCTGTGTCCGGTCACCGCTCTCATGTAAACACGCGCACAGTCTTCGTCGGGGACGTGCAGCAAGTTTCACCTTTAATTTCCTCACGCGCTGTCTCTCCTCTGCACCGCGAGGAGGGGGAGGGAATCGAACTCGTGTCATGATGGGACACCGCTGCTGTCGCCATCATCCACCGAGAGGATGAGCCGGAGCAGCCCGCTGCGGGCGCACGACTTCCTGCTCAAGTTCCTGCTGGTGGGAGACAGCGACGTGGGGAAGGGAGAGATCCTGGAGAGTCTGCAGGGGGGGGGGTCCGAGTCCCCCTACGGGTACAACATGGGTGAGTGGGGGGAGAGTGAGGGGAGAGAGAGGGGGAGGAGGGTGAGGGGGTGAGAGTGTGAGGGAGAGAGTGAGGGAGAGAGTGAGGGGGGTGAGTGAGAGGAGAGTGAGAGTGAGGGGGTGAGTGAGTGAGAGTGAGAGGAGTGTGAGGGGGTGAGAGTGTGGGGGTGAGAGAAGGAGAGAGTGAGGGAGAGAGTGAGGGGGTGAGAGAGGGAGAGAGTGAGGGGAGTGAGAGAGTGAGAGTGTGAGTGAGAGGAGATTATATCTATAATATTAAGTAATAAAT